TGGCGGAATCAAAGGTCTTTTCTCACACACAGCAACACAGTGACATGCAAGTCCCAGTGCTTTCAGAACCAGCTGTGTCATTTATCCCTGTATCAGTTTCTAGTGTTACTTTCTTACCTCCTCTAAATGTGTCATCATTTACTCCAGCTTTGCTAGTTTGTTTCTTTCCATGTTCTGCTGTGCGAGACAGTGTGAGGTTTTGTGATCACTGTGGAAACTCAGTTTTGTGATGTGTCAACAGGGTTTCAAAGCTGGATCGAAATTATGATGTTCTCAAAAGTATTTTTCGAATAGAGGAAGTTGTAACATTTTGTGTTCCTGAACATGTTTTATCTTACTTGGAGGAATATACTCAGATGTATTTTACACATTGATCGCATAGTAAGTAGGTAGTTTTAAGCTGCTTATCTCAGGAAACCCAGCTGTATTGGGAACTAGAGAGTTTGTTCCTTTATTGTCACTTTGAACTGATAATCCTACTTCTTACTTAATTATTAATATATCAAGAAGAAATTCAATTAAATTAATTGTGAAAAGAAAAATCTTTTGTTGCACTTCTAATCAGTTCCCAATCCTGCTTTAAATATATAACACCAATGGGGCATTCTGAGCTGTAATGATGGGAACAATATGTGTCTATGTGATTATGTCCCCTAGGTTACAGGGAGTGGAGTAAACAAAGACTGTTGAGAAGGCTGCTGGAAGTGGAGAAGGTGAGAGGAAATGTCACATGCACGACTGTTGGTTTAGCGATGACAGCTTCATCACTAGCGGCTCCTTTCTCCTACCAGAGGCTGCAGGACAGCAGACGACACACCCAGCCAGCACAGAGCAGCGGCCGATTGGATCAGGAGGGCCAAGCCACGCCCATGGATAGTCTGGGGTTTACCATGGCAACAGAGGCAGTAGTCTCCGTGGGAACAAACACTGAAGATGGGAAGGAGGTTTCAAATTTGAGGAAGCGCCTCAACCAGTTGGAGAAGGAGAGGGCGAAGCTTCAAGAGATGCTGTCAAGTAGAGAGTGCGTGAGCAGCAACATGAGACCACTCAGTTCAATTGCTCTTTATTCATGTCATACAATATAGAGTATATGTTTTCACATGGCAGTGTACTGTAAATGTTAATGATCCAAATTCATAGAATATACCAGTGGAGGGAAACAGTTTAATGCCAGACGGTAGTCGTTCTTATACAGAGATTGTGGCAAACACCCATTGTGTTGACCCCTTTTCAAGGTGACTCTTTTGATTTACAATAAACTCAAACAGGTCAGCAAACTGCCACCCCTGTCCTAGAGCGGTGATGCTTATCGTGATGTCCAACGTGATGAGTAACACGTGTGAAAAAAACTGTACATACCAGTAACGCTATCCTTTTGAAAACAGTGGTAATGGGTTGATGAACAGTGTGAATGTGCTTGTGCTTTGGCTCGTCCTGCACATACACAGCCTGACTGTGACTCCAGCAAAGTAGTTGTGCATTGAGGTGGAGCGACCTTGACTCGGCAAACATGCTGCCTCTTGTAGCGGCTTTTTTTTTTTGAGGGTCAAAACTGAGCCCCCCCACACTGGTACCCAACCTTTTACACCGAACGGCAGGGTGGAAAACTCCCGACTTGAATGGGCCGTGTAAAAAGGGCTTTTGAGGAGCTGCACCCTATTGTTACTTCAGTAAGACCAGCTATGAACATAAAACCACTGAATACTCTGTGTTGTGTTTGTGTTTTCAGTGATGAACTGAGACAACTCGGGACAGAAAGAGAAGAACTGGAGAAAAAAACAGAAAGATGGAAGGCTGAACAGACAAAACAGTGGGAGAAAGAGAGACAGCACCAAAAGTAGGTTTCATTTGCCAAATGTAATATTTTTATGTTGCTACTGTTTGTGAACTCAAAATGTATAAGGTTCTGAACCTCTGCACGTTTTCATCCAGATATTTAGGATCTTTGAATGTACTGTTGTTGTATTTATTAAAAACCTTCTTAAACTATTGATGGGCTATTGATTTACACTTGAAACAGAAATCAACATACTGTATGTCTGTTGTGGAGATGATAGCTGATGCCTTTACCATACAGAGACTTTATACTTGCATCAGACATGTCCAAGTAAACATGGCTGGCAGCATCACAGAAATCCACCCGTGATTTTGTCATTGTGTAAAGATTGGCTGAATATATAACATCCAGACAGTAACAGTGTGGGTGATGATCTGGTTGGTTTTATAAAGAAATTAAATTATGATGAGTTGTCTACAGATGTAGTTTGCTTCTCAGACAGGAGTTGGAGCAGTTGTTGGTGAGGATCCTAATTCTGGAGGAAGACAAAATCAAAACCGCACAAGCTGAACACTCCTCTCTCTCTGCCACGATGGCAAAGGACCAAGAGGACGTCCGAGGCAGATCAGGTCTGAAGGAGGGCGAAGAGTGTGACACTGGGGGTGGAAAGAAGGATGGGCAAAGAGATGTAGAGAAGAAGAGGAGTAAAAATAGACCACCTAAAGAAAAAGAGGAAGCAGCAAGGGTCATCCAGAAAAACTGGAGGGAGTATAGAAATAGGGTACGTAACACATTACATAAAAGAATTTATTGATGTGTAAGAGAAGTATTATATAAACTGTCCAGACAGTCTGTCCCAGATTTCCCTTTGCATCTCCATCTCTTCCATCCTAAGGACATTGTTATGGTGCAGTCAGCATTAAGAGGCCACCTCCTCAGAGAGTCACAGCTCAAGGACCTGCCGAAAGACACACAGAATAAGGTTTCACACACACACACAAACACTTCCACACTATCCGTCTATATCAGCAACACTCACACACACACACGCAGGTTTATTTGGGTTCATTTCCATAGTATTGCACCACACTCTTAAAATGTGCTGTGTGTTTTGTAATCCTGGACATTTGTCAGCATTTTTATCAAGGTGTATCAAGACTGAAACATCTGAATTGGAATTTCTTCAGCCCTAATAATAGATTACAGGATGCGTAGACTATACCAGAAACTGCATGTGTGCCCTCATTTTAGCCTGAGGCAGCACTCCTAGGGATCATTATCAACAGACTTGTGCTGAAACAAATCAGAGCTGCAACCACTAGATGGCTCTCAAAACCTTTTTCTGTGATCCTACTGTAATCTTATTGTCTCTGTGTCACCCTGTCTCTGTGTATTCCTGTTTGTTGCTCCTCATCTCCTCTTTTCAGGCTGAAGAAGCACCAAACCACAGTGATGTAGTTTCCTCTGTAGGAGACATGGATGTTGGTGACTTGACGATGATACAGTCTGCACTCAGAGGACACCTGGCTCGTTCTAGTCTCACAATGGAAAGGTCAGTCATTTATACACAAAAAGAAAAACAAAGGCATTCAAATGTAAAGCACATAATGCAGCATTGTGTGTGTGTGTGTGTGTGTGTGTGTGTGTGTGTGTGTGTGTGTGTTTGTTCATTAGCCCAGTGTTCTCTGTGCCTTCTTCAATGGGACAAAGTTTGCCCAAGCAGGTGCCAGGAGGAGCTCACTCAACAGACACACCCAGCAGAACAGGTAAGGTTCACACATACTGTTTTGAGATTAAATCTTTATTGTACATATAAACAAACATCTACCTGCTCCACAATATTCACATATGCCATAGAATGTCATAGTAGTGAGTCCTAAAAGCTGTAACCGTGTTAGCATTTTTTGCACTACCGGTTCCCTCACCCCTGAGTCAGCAGGTTTTTTGAATGGATTTTTGGTTAGATGCCTGAAATAAGGTCTGCGGTAACACAAGGCCAATACATTTTCATCTTTTATTCTGGCTTAAAATATGTCAGTAAATAGCCCAATAGTGAGTTTTTAAGCTTTTAGCTGTCTTAAAAAATAACCACGCTGATCACGGAGACTCGTCTACTCCCTAGTTCACCTTTACAGCCTCGGTGTGTTTAAACCATGGAACCGACTGACACAGCGATGATCACTAGCTAGATCAGGTCACACTAAGAGGAAAGGATGTTGTAGAAGAGCTATGTGCTAAATCAAGTTGGAAGCCGTGGTGGTGACGCTGACTTGCTGTAATTCATTTATAGCCTCAGTCAGTGCATTTAATTCCTCTCTGCCATCCTGTGTGTGAGTTTATCTGTGCACTCATGATTAGCAATTTAGTGTGTTTTGGGATTTCTTCACACTGGGTGAGGTGTAGAAAGGCATGGAACTTTAACTGGAAACACACCCATCTGTGCAACCAGTCAACAGTGCCAGTCAGAGTTCCAGTTTGATGCTGAGTATACAACGCCATGGCACTGCCTTGCTGTAAACCTCAGACTTTCTCATTGTGTTTACCCTGAATTTTTCTGAGTAGTGATGGATCTCACTGGCACGCTGATCTAACACCCATCTTCTCTGCCCCAGCCAGAGCTTTGACAGTCCCCTATTAGAGACTGATCGTTAATGACACTACCTTACATGAGCCCTGAAAATCTGAAGTTGCCACTGCTCACGACCCTGTTGCAGGGTTCTGCCTGACCTAACTGACCCCGCTAGGTTCCACTGCTTCTCCCTACTGATTTCCCCTCCATCTCCCTAACTTTCTAATAAGCTGACAGAAGATGTGTGCATAGAGCTGCAGTTTTCCCTGCATGCTTACAGATTGACCCTGCATCTGATTTTGCAGTGGGCTTTGCTGAAAGATTTTAGACTGCATGACAGTTTGTGTTACTGAAAGAGGTCTGTCTAGGTTTTTGCAAAGATATGTATACTGTAGGATTGTCATTAGTGTAGTTATGTGTTGTTTTGCTGTCAAGGTGCTGCATCCCTCCATAATGATGAGAAAAGGTGGGGTGGTGAAGGAAATCCACAGCCTGTTTCTGGCACTCATGCCTTAACGCCCACAGCAGGTTAGAGATATCTTTTGACTGCATTTCGACTGTTAAAAGCACATTCAGTCATTTATGTCATCTCCTAGTCTGAATGTGCTGATGTGTGTATCTATGTATACTTAACACCTTTTCTGGCACTAATAAAGAAGCTGAAATGAGAGCCAAATCTTTATAAAACCATGAATATTCATGGAGAAATAAACATATTGCAACCAAATTCTATTGATTGCACCTTGTTTTATGGGTGTTTAGGTTAAATGCTATTCATTAAAATGATGTCCAAGCACTTATGTACAAATATACCTGCATGTCTCCTGCAGACCAGTCAGAGCTCCACTGCACAGCCGAGTCTAGAGGAGCTGCTGCTGGGGATTCTGACGATTCAGATGACATCATTGTGTCCCCATCACGTCCTCTCAGAAGTAGAGAAGGCTTGATCTCATAGACCTGAGTTGTGTGAGTTACTGTGTGTGTGTGTGTGTGAGAAAGAATAGGTAGGAAGAATGTCTACCTGTGTTTTTAGTCAGAGGTGTAAGGTCCAGTCCAGGTTCTTAATTAACCTGCAAACAATAGCTGGGATATTCCAAAATTATTCAGGGTAGTATGGAACATAGACAATATTTGCTGTTTGCCAATTTTGTTGCCTGTGTAGCACTACCACAGTAATAACTAGGGAAGTCGGTGTCAGAATACATTGATGCATCCAATGTCTTGACAGAATGACTGCTAAGTCTAAAAGCTTGGACCTTGGATGCTTTTTTGGCAACGTGGAGGATAAGGCACTTGTGCACTGGAAATGAGTATTTTTAATTTGGATTTATTCTTTAGTTTGAATTCTTCTTTTGTAGCCTATCATTGGAGCAACTTATTCTCAGTGGTTGTTCTCTTTTACAAAGTGCCTACTGCATGGATATTTAAAAGCAAATCGCATTAGCAAATGTATGCATTTCTCTCAACCTGACTCCAAGTTAGCCACATCACTGTAAAGTCCTTTGTATTTCACAGCCTTGAAATAATCATTTTGACATGGCTTATTTGTAACACACAAACAACAGTACATTAATGTGTCATGTATGTTTAAGTTGTGGCTAATTCGGAGGTATAATTGAGGAATGACTCTCAGTTGATGCACTAAACTGTGAATAAATTATAGATCGTTCTGCTGCAATGCTAAAACACACTGTCAGTACAGTGGAGGATACACAGAGAGTGTGAATAATGTCTGTGCTCTGAAATCGACAATTGGTAACATGGAAAAATAGTTGACAAAGAAAATGGATGAGTACAGTTTTCTCCACGTAATGTGTGTAATTTCTCAGAGACATTCAATAAAATACTTTTTATAATGAACATTCCTATAATTTGTGGTTCTTCCTGGAAAGCTACATATCTTTACTCAAGTACAACTGTGAAGTACATATGAATGTTTGTCTTTTATGATAACTTTTCAGAGGAAAATGCCTACTTATCTACTACATAAAATTCTACATAAAACATATTGCAAGCTAAGCTTATGACCTCTTGCAAAAAAGCAGTGTCTAGCAGGGGCCCCCATGTCACAATCCAGATGTCTTTAATTTGTGTGGCAGAACTTTGTTTTCTCTTCCTACCTGCATCCATACATCATCTTTTGGTCCTTCAGATTTATGACCTTTTGGAAGAGCACAACCCTAGGTTATGAACCTCTAAGCACTAAGAAAGTAGTTCTGTCTACTTCTAACAGCTGCAGGAGGTGCTTAATGCAGAATGAGTACTTTTCTTATCAAATTCACACAGAAAAGTTATTTGTTGTTGCTGAAGTCAGTTCTGTTTTTGTTGGTGCACTATTTTCAAAGACATTGCTGTGTTTTTGTTTTTTGTATTTTTAAACATGTTGCTGTATTTTTGGTTTTGTTGTAGTATTTTGTGGTGCCTTTTAGTTGATTGTTGTGTTTTCTGTTTAGTTATTCTCCATTGCTGTAATGATTTGCACCTCCTACCGTAAATGATCACATAGAAATGTAAATGCATCTTTCGCCCTTCTGTAAGATGCACTACCGTGATTTCAACGTCAGGGGGAGCCCTCTGCGCATTTGCTCTCTCTCTCTCTCTCTCTCTCTCTCTCTCTCTCCCCCTCTCACACAGAAACACATCGGCAGTGCAGGAGCTGCCGCAATATCCCGTCCTCCAGGGTTTTAAACTACCGTGTTTGCTTTACTCTCCAACAGTTTCATCCAGCTGAAGCGACAGTTCATCGTGGGAAGAGCGCCGACGAGCAGGAGCAAGACAACGACAGCACAGCCAAACTAAAAAAAAAAAAAGAAAGACAGATACTGGGCTGCGGGTCAACGAGTTTAACCCTTCATTTTCCGTAGCATTGTTGCTCTATGGAAAGGTAGTCGAAGCGGGTAGACGTCTGCATGAAATGTGAACGGACCGGGTTCCGTTATCTTCAATGTGGTTGAGTCTAGCGGTTAGCTCGGTACAGCCGCGTTGATGCAGCAGCGCACGGCTGTGGTGTTCAAATCCACCACCGGATCTGGGAAGACAATAGGTCAAATATACGGCGACCTGGACTGCCGGGGCTGCACTAAAGGAGAGTCTACATCCCCTTGGGCTTCACTAGGTAGGTGCCCATCCATGAAAACAGAAGCTTTGGTGTGCACAGACACGGGGACCTGAGGCGAATTCTTCGCTTTTCTCCTCCTCGTTGCCTTGACGACTGTGAGACTGCGGTAGTTTTAATGGACAAAGCGGGATAGAGCTAGCTAATCCGGGTTTGCTAACAATTTATTGACTCAACGTTTACCCGCGACTTGGATGACCTACGTGTGAAGGCACAGTAAATTCGGTATAATAGAAAGAGTCCTGGCTGCGTGTTGGCTTTGATATAACAGCCATTTCACCGTGCACGGTACATTTATCTCACGAAGCCCGTGTCTTGCCGTATGGGCGTAAATTGGCTGATAGGAGGTTGCTGTCAGCCCTATTGTCATCCCATAACTCACGCACAGTACCTATGACCTCATAGGTTTATAATCTGTTTACTGTGGGATATTTAAAAATACAAATATCTTCCACTGTGCAACATTTAATGCTAATGTATTATAGCAAAAGCGGGTTGTTTTATGACATTAATATGTCGTGTGTGTCCCCCCCCCAAGCCATCATGATACAGACACATTACATGGTACATTAACGTTAACCCACAATACAACAGGAGCTGTAAAGGTACACAGCCTAATTATATTTATCAAATTCATTATGGAAAACTTTAAGAAAACTGAAATGAAGTAATGTCATATTGCAGTGTTTTAGCCCTTTAACAACACACACACAACTGAAATATCTTTATTTGATGCCATTTAATAATAAACGTTTTTGCTTCATGAAGTTTGCACATAACCTTAATGCACTGGCATTAGTAACAAAATGTAAAGACGTGTGTGCCATATATTGGCATGTTGATGTTGACTGGCGTGTTTGTCCCACCCCTCATAGAACTTGATATAATGTCAACCATTAGTAAAGACTGTAGTTGATGGAAGCAGGTTTTGATGGTCAACTGCAAGAACCTCCGTTTCGGTTGATATGTTTGGTAAAGATTACACTCATGCTTGCTGTTTCCCAGCTCTGCAACAGCCATGAGAGGAGGTGTGAATTGTGCATGACTCCTGTGCCCCATTAACCCACAATAGTTGTGGTTGTCTTTACAGTGTCTGTGTGAGGAATTGGGTTAGAGAGGCAAGCGACAACCGGCGGGTAGCTGCATCAGGATGGCAGCTGTAGTCAACTACTCTCCACCTTGGTGGGTGAATCTGCTTCATCGGTTGCCTCATTTCAATATCGAATTCCAGGTGGTGAGCAGTGACTTCAGACCGGAGGACTCTGACTACCAGAAGGTAAGACAAGTACAGTGGAACAGTTAGCTCCCACTACGATCATCCCCTTCATCACACAGCATCACCTTGTCATCCTGCCGCCTGCCCACACTGTAAATTCACTGCAGAGTGGACTGAGGCTGAGAGTTGTGGGTTCCCTCCCTGCATCGATCAATGTAGTGTGTATGAGAGAGAAAGAGAGGGATGTCCTTGAATAAGACACTGACCCTGTACCTGCTCCCTCATTGTTATGGATAAATGCAATGCAGAAACTCAGTCAATTAAACAATCAGGTGGTTACTAACCTGGCTGGGACCCCTAATGTTTGCGGTATAAATCTGAAGGCCTGAGGTGAATAGAAAGACAGAAAATAAAAAGACAAAACATTTCTTTTACTGTATACAAAGCTATATGTAATTTTTGGATGTTTCTCAAGTCTTTGCCTTTTAAAATACTGATGAGACTGACCACCTCAAACTACTAGAATGGGACAATCTGTCAAGAGAACATCACTGCTTGAATGACGTACCTGAATTTTATTGGATAAACAGTTAATTGATTAAAAAAATATTCAGGAAGGAAAAATAATAATTAGCTTCAGTTAAAAGCATAATACTAATTGCATCCATTCTTTGTTGAGTCAGTGCCTGAGTCTGTAGCACTGCCTTACAAAGCAGCTCTATCTCAGAGAGGGGCTTTGGCCCAGTTTTCCTGCATTCCATTAGAGTCCTTAAACAAGGTGACTTCCAGGTCTCTGCAGCAGAATGCACAGGCTTGGTAGCTCACATAAAGCCCCGACACATCAGTTAGACTCCCATGTTTCATGTGTTGCAGTCACCCCTCAATGTAGTTTACTGACATGTACAGTGGAGGGAGGGCCTGCAAGTTCAAGAGCAGAGCGTGGGAAGGCACCCACGGCCACGCACAAGGGAGGGAGATGAGAACTGGAGAGAGGAGGAGTAGGAGGAGTAGTGAGAAACATAAAAAGGGGCCCATTGGAGGCGAGAGGAGAGAGAGAAGGCTCGATGATCCATGGGAGGTGCTTCTAAATTGCCAAATAGCCACTTCCTGTGAGCTATTCAGTGATTTTACTAAGGGTCTTTGTGTGTGTGTGTCAGTGTGTGACCACTGGAATTTTAAGGACCCCCTTTTTAGACTAATTACATCCTGACATAGTTCAGCAGATGGGACTGTTTCTATGTCACTGAGGATTCTGTACTATAATTATTTGTTTGAATGGTACTTGTAGTAGTTATGCATATTATATATGCTGTATGTCACACACAGTATGTTTGCTCTGTGTGTCAGTGTGTATTTCACACTTAGTGTTGTTGAAGTCACAGATCTCCCTCAGGGGTTGTTTGTGTTACTGTGTGTGTGTGTATGTATGTGTGAGTGAATATAGGGGTTCTATTCAGGATGAACTCATTAATTCTGGAAAGATAGGGGGAGGGAGGGAGGGATGTAGGGTGAGAAAAACAAGAAGGAGGAGGTTGAATTGGATTAGGGAGTGAGGAGGGAGGGAAGGGGGGGGTGGGAAGGGGAGAGTTGTAGTCTGTTGTGGAAGAATGCTCTCTTTCTTTCTTCCACTCTTTCACTGAGGCCCGTCTTTAGATTGGCTCAGTATATCTGTCTCAAAGGCTTTCATGCATCCACTCGTCCAGCTGAGAAATGCACACACACACACACAAGGTCCCACACAAGGCCCTTCAGTGCACTGAGTCTGTCACCACACCATAATATAATACACACTCACACACAATAGAGGGAGATTCTTCTGTGCAGTGTTTTTCTTTCTGATGTGATTTGGCCCAGGTTCATTTGTATTCAGCTCTTGAGCTCTGATGCTGCTCAAAACTTCCTTCTCACTCACTCACTCACTCACTCTCTGATTCACTCATTCACTCACTCTCTTTATTGCTGTTTCTTTTTTAATTCATTCACCAGAGCAGTTACTGTCTGATGACTTTGACATTGTTGAGAATGCTGACTCTGTGGCTTTTTGCAAGAAGTTTTTTTTTTCCTGAAGAGCTGAAATAGGAGCTCTAATCCTGAGGTACTGCACAGCATTAGAACACAGTTTTGTGCTTTTCCTCGTGTGTGTGTGTTTGCATTCATCTGCTTATATTATGGTAGAATAGCAGAGTCAGCGACCAGCACAGTTAAACAGCTGCAGAACATTACAAAGGAAGCATGTGACCTGTAATAACACACACACACACATATTCCCAGCTGTGGAAAGTAAGTCAGTAATTGGTGTTTTCATTAGCTAGTTACAGTTTGCACAGTGGAAGACATTATCTCATAGCGTTTTGATAAGGATCAGAGTGGATCAAAGACAAGAAGTGCCACTCTTGAATCTTTTTATGGACCAGCAACAACCAGTGCAGACAGTTTGGTACTTTCCTGACCTTGGAACTTGCTTTTCCTATTTGTGTGGTATTTTGGTGCTGAGCACAAAGTGCATGGTGCACAGGTGGGAGGTTCATTCAAGGTGCAAAGTGAGCTGTTGGTATTTTGGTGGAAAATGGGTTTTAGACTACGCTGAGAATAGACGTCCCAGGACTACATCTGCTGCTGGTGCAACATCAATCTGCTGCTACTTTGGTGATTTTTGTCAACAAGAGCAAACAAAGGCACCCAATTGTGCTTAAAATGTGAATAAAGTATTTTAACTAATCTCTCCTCAAAGGCATTATGGTCCAAATGCTGTTGTGTCACATTTTCTGGTATAATGTGACATTGGAATTGAGATTGATGTGGTCATATCAACAATGGCATCATTTGTCATTGTGTTTGCAAGGTTAAAATAGGGCCGTCTGTATTTAAAAATGATAAAATGTCACACATCAGTAGCCTTTGTTTGGAAACGCTTCACTTAGCATGTTTCGGTTGCATTTTGACCCAGCAGTTCATGTGAATATTAGCAGAATGAACTCGAGGGAGGTCATTTAGGGCCTCAGGAAAGACGTATATAGAGTAACACAGGCACAGTGAAAGGAAGGACAACTCACTGAAGTGGACGTGATTGATCCTGTCAGCTCAGATGCTGACACACATTCACATACACACACGTACACACACTTAAATGGGCAGGTTGAAAGTAGATCACTGTGCCTGGACGTTTAACATTTAGCCTGCAAGCTGATCTCCAGTAGCTTAGATGAGTGTGCACACACTTGTATCCAAGTACACACATACACAACTAAGCTCACCATGCTTATTAGTAGCTAATTGATCCACACTTAATCTGAACTTATGGTTTGTCAGCCCCACAGTTGATCTAGCAACCATCAGACACAGTGGGAGGAGTGGGAAGTGGCTGAGACCTCAGCTGCAGTCAGATTAAACATTTATTTAGCATGATCAATACCAGACACTAAGAGTCCTGGATCACTTGTTATTGCTTTAGCATTGAGATGATTAGTGGATCAACAGTTTTTAATGTCAGTTGCTTGTTAAAATAATTTGTCAAAGTAGAAACGCTACATATTGAATGGTTCCTGCTTCTCAGATAGAAGCATTGGAATGAAAACATCCAGCGTTGTATAGCAATCACATTCTGCTTATTGTCATCAATCCACTTTACTCTACATGTTATTAGGCTGCGATGAAGATTTTAAAGTCACAGGAGATCGAACAGTGCATTAGTGGAGCGCTGGAAGCTTTTACTATAGAACAACAGCTGTAGTGCTAGCTGTAAGTCTAGGGACAATAACACATGATATTACCAGAGACATGGAACCTAAAGAGCTCAGCCCACACTCATCTCTCATCAGGATCCTCTCTTCCCATTCTCAGGCCATCTTCTTTGACCTGTTGGAGAAAAGCAGTCAGGGAAAAGCAATCAACTGCTTTCCTGTGGCTCAGCCCCTGCTTACCAACTGCCTTCTCATGAGAGGGCACTGGTGTGGTGATCACAGCTGACACAGGTTATGTAGTGTACTATTTTGATCAGGCCTGAACAAGTTAAATTGTCCAGTAATGTTTTTGTATGGCAAAAGTATATATCTCTTGCTTCTCTATCCTCTTAATGAACTTGCATCCCAGCATCCAGGTTGGGAACCACTGCCCCTGAATGTTATATTTTATGTTGTCAAGATTGCATCCCTGATCTGAAGAAATAAAAATCAAACATTGTTAAATGTAATGTTAAGTTTGGAATACAGTCCATGCGCATGTTTACAGTAGAGGTGGCTAAATTACTGCAGGCTGAGGAAATTGCTGGCTGGCAGTCAGGAAGAAATGAGGTCAGTAGAAAAATCGGCAGTTTAGAAGTCTGGGAATCCAGGAAGTCTGTGTGAATCTTGGAGGTGGAGCCAGATTGTGTTATCATCCATGGAGGAGCCCCCTGAATTACAATGTTGCTTTTACTGACTGAGCAGCAGTGTAGCAGGATTCCTTTGTCGTAAGTGGTCTAGCAGGTGGAGCTTTGGTTTTCCAGAAACGTGCCTGTGCCTCTGCATGGTCCGGCGGTACAATGACTTTTCCAGACACCCCCACAGAGAAAGAAAAGCTAACATCGAAGTGTGTGTGTGTGCTTGATAGAAAATGAATTAATCAGTTCCAGGCACATTACTTTAATAGCCTTCATTGTCTTTATTTATTTCTCCTTTTTAGTGTTCAGTTCAGTTCAGTTCAGTTCAGCTTCTTTCACATCTTCTTTATATTTTGCCTGTTCATCCTGTTTTTTTTTTAACACAAACACACACACAAACAGGTTTTGGTTGGTCCCCACAGCGTGAGTATTACCAAGCACACACATGGAGACTTTACACTGACAAACATTTCCTGGAAACTTATCCCAGCCTTACCCATCACCACTGCTTACTTAACCCTAACCCTCACATGAAGTCTTCACTCAAAAATTTGATGATTCATGTGGTGGAGACCAGCGTTTGGTCCTCACAGTGAAGGTTGAGTGCTCACTATGTGAGTACGTAAACAGGTTTTGGCCCCCACAATGTGAATAATACCAGGTGCATGCACACACACTTCCTATTTCCTCCCCCACCAGTCCTTCCTTCTGTTACACTTCAGAGCTATAAGAGAGTGTGTGATCTGTGTGGTGAGCCTCTAGCGCACGCAGCTCCCCAGCAGTGCTGCTTCCGCTGACTCTGTGGAGGTGTGCGTGTTCGACGGTGTGTAAACCCTTTTTCATGGTATCGCTCAAATGCACATTTAACAGCCACTATTTTCTGGTCTCAAATATCTGGATAAAGAAACACAGTTTGTGTCTCTGTGTGCATCTGTCTACACAGCATTAACTACATCATGTGGTTCGTCTGTGTCTGTCTCTGGTTTCTGCTCGTATCAGCTAATTAGCTTCCTGTATCCTTAACCCACTTCCCAAATTGTGCCCTTGTCTGTGATAAGGACAACTCTCAAACATGATACATTTGTGTAGTGTATGAATCACAGTTTGATAGAAGTATATCATAAACTGTTATAAAATCATTAATGTCTTGTTGATACTAACTAGTTTCTTTCTCGCTCCCTCGTCTTCAGTCTATTTTGCTGCTTGGTGCTGTGGCGTTGGTGTGTTTGGGCCTGGACCTCCTGTTTCTCCTCTTCTACTCGTTCTGGCTGTGCTGCCGGCGACGCAAGAGTGACGAATCCTCACACTCTCACTCTCACTCGCAGCAGCCCAGCTCTGACTGCTGCTGCACCGCCTGGTGCGTCATCATCGCCACACTCGTCTGCAGGTGAGAGGTTATACCTATAGGAGTAACTCCTCTATACAGTTAGAATAAAGTCGTATGTTTGAAGGTGAACCCTTGCAGCCACTGCCACAGGATGTAACATTTGTTTTATTAAGGATTCTTGAGGGGTGACAGTGGTGCGGTGGGTAGAGCAGCTGTCTCCCAACCGGAAGGTTTAAGGTTTGAATCTCGGTGCCTGCAGCCCACATATCAAAGTGTCCTTGGGCAAGACACTGAACCCCAAGTTGCCCGTGATGGCGGCACATATGCATGCAGCGGCCCGGGGCCCTCGGCTCCAAACAAAATTTCGTTATGCAATGTTACAATAAAATAAATCTTCTTGATGAGTGAGGGTTGAAATACTTAATAATTCTCCTCAGTTATAGGAATTTCCCAGTAGCATGAAGTAGATACTAACTTTTCTCTGGGGACTGATGGGAGAGGCTTGAACTTAACTCCTAAAGTTAAGATCAGTGGCAATTTGGAGATTTCTTACCAGACTTTTTGTTTTGACAGATCCAGATTCAAGTTGACCAGTAACTTTCAGTCTTTCATTTTTGTCACAAAAAACAATGCAGTGTTTTCACATCCTCTAGTTCACAAAACCACACACTGATTCACATTTTATTTTGAATAAATTTGCTCCTCTGGTCTGACTGACAGACTCTAAACTGTGTATTGCAGTTGTGGTGTGAAATCTATATACTTTTAAATCAGTAAAAAGGTGATATGCTCCTCTGTGATTTGGAGAGAAGAAGGGATGAATAAACAGGAGTAACATGAGGGCATTTTGATGAAAACCTTTAAAAACCCCAATCCCTTTGATATAAAAACATATTTCATTTCCATCAAGCGTAAACAAAGCAACATGGAATAGCAACTATGGAATAATTTAAGTGTGGACATAAAAAATAGTAATAGAATTGACGAGTTTAAACTTAAATATAAAGGTATGTGTCAATCAAGATATATGCAAGAACAGGTTTAATGATTAACCAGATGGAACATTGTGGGTGTGGTGTATGAATGTTAACACTTTGTAATAATTCTTTAGTATATTACTTGTGTGGTGTAGAAGAGAATTATCTATGTAGAGATACTGCTTGCAAACCAATGATGGTAAGATGATGTCATGGGGTAGGACTGGATAAGTCTGACTTCTTCCTACTCCATTCAAGCATGTACTAGGTATAAGAAAATTGATATTGGATTAGCATTTGTTGGATATGTGTAAAATTATGTGTGTTGACATATCAACTATCTTTACATGCTTGAAAGAATAAAATCAATCAATCAATCAACATGGCTTCATGTAAAGTTTACATTTTGGAGATTATGACTGTACAGTGCACCGATTAATTACACTTAATCTTGTTTAAGCCTGAAATCCCATGTGGTGTGACTGTAACTGCCAGGTGGTTGCACTCCTATGTTTGTATTTATCTGACTCTACAGGCCATGTGTACTCACACCCTGCAGCGCAGAGTGTATTTTGACCACAGATTCTGCGCTGTGTGGACTCTGCTCTTCTTGGCAACAAAAGTGCACATGTAAACATACAAACTATTCCTCTTTCATTTACTCTCTCCTCACTTTTCTACTTTCCCCACCTCCCCTGACTTTTTCCTCTCTCTACTCCCCTTTTCTTCATCTCTGTTAGTCCCCATCTGCTATTTTTTTTATTTCTCACTGCTCAGCCTTCTCCCTGGCCTAGAAAGGTTGCCATGGAGACAGAAGCAGATTTGATGCAGAGATGAGAAATGAATTATACAGTCGGGGATAGCTGTTTCTGTGTATGTGTGTGTGCGTTCGCGTGACTCAGTGCGGTAGGTTTAATATTTTATGATTAGCTATAATATTTCTTACTTGATATGGATCTGAGCATTTGTGTGTGATTTTGTATGCTTTTGTGTGTGAGTCGTTGTTCACAATTTAATATGACATCATATCTTAGTTTTGGCACAGCACCAGCTACATGTGGACTTCCTCCTTTTGTGTGTGGTGCAGTTTGTTGAGATAGAAGCTTTATCTTGTTTTGTAGTGTTCATTGTTGCATTATACAGTCCTGAAAGGAATAGAAATTATATCAACACTTTGGATGATCGATGAAATGTTTTAGTCATTTATTAAGCAACATGCCAAACATTTGTTCCATGTTCTCATGAATGACTTGAATATTTGGGTTTTAGGGTGACCAGGGCAGTAACACCATGATAAAAACTCTTATATAGGAGGTTGTTACAGAATGTAAATGCATTGAGAGGCTATTGTTGATAAAATGCTGTATAGAGCAGCAAAAAAGGGGTTTGAGTTCATGTAATTACTGAAGATTATCTACACTTTTATGTGTAGCGGTTATGAAATGCCTGATCACCAGTCTGCTAATTAATGTCGTTAAAAACAATCATTAGTTGCCTCACAAGTTTTATATTGCTCTATAGTGCATATAATATTTTCTCCCTGCATTTAGTTGTCATTAGTGGCATCAAGTGTTTGTATGGAAGAGCAGTTTGTGTACTCAGGTTGCACTATTAGTACTCACTATTAAATGCAAGTTGACTGAACTAATTGGATGCATTTGTTTTGGATTCAGGTGATTTAGTTTGGTTTGGATTTGAATTCATCTTGAACCCCATTTTGACTGAATAAAACATTTACTATCTCATTGACTGGGCTCCAGCTGAGTACATTTTATTATGCTCATTAAGATACAGCAGAGCATTTTTAGCATTATGATGTCAGCTTTGTGTTAGTGTCATTCAAAATATGTCATTATATGTTTTTCTATACGGGAACTAAACTGACCAGTGATTGCAGCCAATTATTTGACTTCTGATCCCCTCATTTATGTCTCATATCCTGAGCTGTAGGTTAATAAAGTCATGAAAATCCTTGATAGGAGCAGTTGTATTAAACTGGCAAGATGAAACTCACGGAGAGAGGAAGACATGGAAGTGGAGGGAAGGAGAGAGAAAAGGTGATAAGACAGAAGAGTAAACAGGAATGGGAGGAGATGATTTACTGTTAAAACATTGCAGGAGGCAGGGATCAGTGGGAATATAGACAGATAAACATGCATCAACATACAAACCACATTAATGTGCCTCCAACACAGTATGTATGTTTACTCGGTTTTGTCTTGTCAAGACTCTATCTGTATTTGTAGTTTTATGTCACATGTCGACATAAAGTTCATCATAAAACTCTGAAACACACATGCACACATACACAATAGTGAGTGTGTGTAAACCCTGCTGCAACATGGGGCTACTCAAAATCTAATGGGCTAGAATGAATTGCTGTAACAATGGTCATAAATTTATCCTCTACAAATCTGTCTGGTGTTAGTGCTCAGACAGAGACATCATCAACACAAAGAGTACACTCAAACACACATGTGCAGTGCCCACATACAGTAGACAAAGGGAAGGGAGGGGGCTACAAGAGCTTTACAGGGTGATTGAAGAAATAATGGCAAAGTGGGGAGGGGGTGTAGCTGTGACAAAATAAAGATTATAAAAACGAATTCTGCTGTGGTGTTGGTGGCGTCGGGTGGGTGAGGGGTTAATTGTGTTATGAACATGCTTAAGGAGTATTCAGGTCGAGAATAAAAGGTGTTGGGGTCAGGAACCTCAGATATTGTACCATGTGTCATGTGTGCAGAGCTGCAAAAGGATCATATTGTGTGCGGTCTGGTGGTCCATTGTGTATGCACCAATATTTTTCAGAGCCATTGTTGTAAGGACATTTTAGCGAGTCCTCACAATTTCAGCCGTCAGTTTAGGGTGACGGGCTAGGGAATCCATTATGTCATTGAGAGTCCTCAGAAATACAGCAAGACATGACTGCACTGTACAATATGCGAGTTTGTGTGTGTGTGGATCATCACTTTCTTGTTGGAGGAGACATCAAAGCAAAGGCCACAGGGCTCAACACCGCCTGTTGCAGGCTAACAGAGGAACTACACTTAATAATTCCACTGTCAGTGCTTTGCTTTTCTTGCATGCTTGTAAACAGATTATTCACCCACACTGATACATTTAATGCCATCTGATGGTTGAATTAGTCATTGTGTTAACACTTGGCACTTTCTGTTTTCTCCCTTTCAGCGCTGGCATCGCTGTAGGATTCTACGGAAATGGGGAGTCTAGTGATGGAGCCAGTCGTTTGGCATACTCCCTCCGGCACGCCAACCGTACCGTATCTGGGGTGGAGAAACTGGTGAGTTACCTAATGTGCTGTTTCACTTTAAAAACTGGTTACCTCACAGACCAAATGAAACAATAAAAAAGTGGACAGATGGCAGTTTTTAATGTTTGATTTATATCTGTGTCCAGGTGTCAGACAACGTCCTAGCCTTAAACCAGACAGTGGAGGAGAGCTTAGTCCAGTTAGAGACAGCCTTCCAGGAGCAGACAGACTATGTGTCCATCATCCAAAAGCTGCAGGGCCAGCTGGATGAACTGGTGCGGCTAATGGTGGATGTTCCATTCTGGTCCAACACTGACATTTCTCTAGAGGACCTGGCCCATAAGATAGAGGCCTTTGACTTTTACAGGTCAGTACTTACAAGTAATGGTATGTGTTTCCTGCATTTCAGCAGTTTTTGATGCATCAAACTGAACACTGCTGTTGCATTCTCCTACTCATGCAGTCTGTTTAAATATTCCTTTCTGATTGGCCAGAAAAAGAAATTTAAAACCATTAAAACATACCGTGCTGCCCTTGCCATGACAATAAGGCTGAAACAGTAGAAATTCCAGTGAATAAACAATGGTAAACTAAAGTCTTGTGATTTTTAAAACATTCACCAACAGTTTGGTAGTGATCTGATTATGACCCTAGTATATCTAAAATGGCCCTTATGGTGTATGTTAAAGGATTAATTAGGTCAGTCCCCAAAGACTAACAGTGTGTCTTGCCTCTATGTTGTGTGTGGAAATCCTTGGCAGGAAATAGTGTATCCCCTGTTTGCATAAGATGCTTTGCTAAATATCTTTTTTATATATATATATATATTTGGAGGTGGTTGGGGTACCTGGGCCTGCTGCTGTTTGATGTGCTCATTTGTCTTCTGGTGCTCTTTGGTCTGATACGCAACTCTCGAGGCACTCTGATAGGGTATGTTACATCACACCATAACACAAAGTCAGACCCTGTTGAGACTCTGACTCTGTTAAAACTGTGTGATCCGTGTGATGTCGGTAAACCCAATCCTGACTTTAAAACATATTTGTTTTGTCGTTCAGAGTGTGTCTGCTGGGGGTTCTGACTCTGATTATCAGCTGGGGGTCTCTCGGCCTGGAACTGGCTGTCGCTGCTGTAAGTGTAACCATGGCAACATCGCAGAGCTCTCTGGCTCTGCAATGATGTAATCTCTACCCACTGCTCGAGTGAGTGTGTTCAGCGTGGGTGTTACTGTAGCCTGATGTGTCATGTGTGCTTATCCTCTTACAGTCAGCCAGTGACTTCTGCGTTTCCCCGGATACCTACATCACCAGGGTAACCAAGGAGAACACTGTCATCAACCAAGGTATGCAGACAAGAAAATACAGAACCGGTGAACTGGTACCAGCCATTTTTAAGATTTTCTGCAATATTTCCATAGACGTTTGAAACCTAAAAATATAGTATCTACATTGTCACAGGTCAGATATAGTATGTATGTCTGCTATGAGCAGACGTATTTTATAAATTACGATTAGCATTCTCATTTCCTGTGTGGTAAAAAGGACTGGTGAATGGGTAGCAGCCATTTTGTGCCAACAAAACAGTTTTCAAACCTTTTAGGCCTGTGAATTTCAAACTTTAATCCTATTTAAACTGGTCACAGGTTGACTATGTGTGTTTGCTGTGAACACTTCAAGCAAAGGGTCAAGTTTTTCTTCTAAAATTGTTTTATTTAGAGTCCCAAAGAGATGAAAAATACATTATTTCATAACAATAAAGGAAATATTGTGTACACTACTTTACTACTTTATGTTAAAACCAGTTGTCTTTTGACCCATGGGGCTGAGGAGACTGTACTGTTAAAGAAAAATGAAATATTTTATAAATTCTGAATAGTTTTCTTATTTCTTGTATAGTTGAGTGATGTAGTGAGGAATCGTAGATTAGTCAATGGACTGCTCATATGCAGATAATGTAGGATGATGTAGTAAATAAGCAGAACCATCTTGAATAGACTCCATTTTCCACACTGACAGTTGACTCTAACCCTGACATGTTGTCTCTATTTTAAGAAGTAAGTGTGTGTGTGTGTGTGTGTGTGTGTGTATCTAAGGGGATTGTGTTTGATTGACAGTCTGGGATCTAAAAGCTCCTACTCTCTCTCTCTGCTGACTGCAATGCATCAGCAACCCTGCACACTCCCTGCTCACTTCCACTCTATCCTGTCCCAGATGTAAAAATAAATAAATAAATATTCAGAGCCCATTTTTGCTTTTTCACTTTGGATCATTATCTGATTTATTCTCTCTCTTCATCCTTTTATATCCCTCTTTACTTCTCAGTTGCTCCCTTTCTTCCTTTCCCTCCCCTCACTTCCCTTGTTTCATTAATGAGTTCTGTTGTCTGTCAGTTGTTTCCGTTCTGTCTGCTGTAGAGCACAGATGTTGCCTGAGTAATACTGTTATCATGCTTCCACAGAGCCATACTGCCATTCTTGCATTAAACTGTATTTTTTAATGTATGTTTTATTTTTCAATATTCCCAGATATTCTGCAGTATTACCTGAGGTGCAGCTCTGGCCAAATTAACCCCTTCCAGCAGGTAATGTCATCCTCTTGTCTTACAGTTCTTTCATTTCAGGTGATTATAGCTATGAAGCAGTTGAATAACCAAAAGATATATTTATGTTTGTGTGATTTTGTTTGTCTCTCTGTATGTTTTCTAGAGGCTGTCAGGGAGTCATAAAGCTTTGGTGGAGATGCAGGATGATGTGGCAGAGCTACTGAGATCAGCAACACGTGATTATGCCAACACCAAGGTGTGTGTGTGTGTGTGCGTGCTGTAGTGTGATCTGTAGGTATTTATTTTCACACGAGACAATTCGCATTAGTGAGAGCGTGATGAAAGTGGTGGTTACAATCACGGTTATCTGGTGTGTGTGTGTGTGTGAACATTCTGGAAGGTGGATATCTATATTTGTGCATGAATAAGCAACGTTTGCTTTGTGTGTGCAGGGGAGTCTTGAGCAGATCCAGTCAGTGCTTAATTCCACCGAGGTTGGTCTACACCAGCTAACCGCTCTGGTCGACTGCCGCAGCCTACACATGGTGAGTCACTATGTGTGTTATGTTAGCAGAAGAGAGAAGCCCTAAAATCCCAGACTTTAACAACTGACTTCTCTTCTTATTCTCCTTCTTGTCCCTTCTGTCTTTCCTGTCTCAATGTGTAGGACTACGTTCAGGCATTGACAGGCCTGTGTTATGACGGAGTTGAGGGTCTCATATACCTGGTTCTGTTCTCCTTTGTCACTGCTCTGATGTTCTCCTCTATTGTGTGCAGTGTGCCACATACCTGGCCTGGCAAGAGGTAACGCACACATGCACACAGTCTCTCACACACATCGCACACATGCCTTTACATTCCTAAATCCTTTTCTGAATGTAATCTGTACACTAACAGCTAACATGTTGCTAGTGCTAACCTCTTACTGTGATTGTACAACTAACATCAGACAATGACTTGAAACAGTGGAAAGACCCATAGAGAATTTTTTTAGGCCCCCATGCATGTCATACTTAATGTATATTTGTCTCCTGAGCTGTTGTACCTTTCATACGTCTTCCTGCCTGTCTTTGGATCCATAGAGTTTTCTCTGCAAGTTCTGTTATTTTATTGTTTGCTGTTAGCACTGCCAGTCTGGCCAACTGTGTATTTTTATGTTTGTACATCTCTATCATTTTCCTTTCTCTGTTGTCGACTTGGAGCACCAGTGTTGTGTTAGACTGTGCATCACCATGTTGGTTTTTTTTTTGGTGCCCCA